ATGCTGGATTGGTGACGAAAGTACGTAGTATGGTCTCGTCCAATTGGTAGCTTAAACTCGTTCGAGGGGCGTACAGAATTTGTGTTGGGCTAGAAGGAGGAGAGGGAGATACGACTGGTTTCAAAAATCAGCTTTCCTCTAGCTCGCACGAATGTTGTCTCAGTAGCTTTCATACTCGACCGTGACACGGAACGATTCGGTCGTTGTCTCTTCGTGGTTGCATCTCTTCGATTCGAATTTCGAATACGCGCCAGTGATAGTAAAACGTTTCTTCAATAAAGTGACTAAAAGCATTTAGGAAATTTTATCGATTTACCATGATACTAGAGGTAAAACGCACTTGCGATACAAGTATGTCTATTTTTCATCACAGTGTCTATAATATTGACAACAAGTATAAGTTTCGATTGTATGTTCCGATTGCTCTTTCTGTTTGTTTTTCCTTTTCGTGACTTGCGATATTAAAATTTTTTTTTAATATTTTGTATTAATTATCAATTATTACCAAGGTACGCGATACTTCAATTTGGGGATAAACTATTCTTCGAAACAAATCTATCGTGTTTGTTCCGGGTATTATGAATGGCATGCAAATGTTGTTAGCATTCGAATACTAACATTCAATTCGAACGTTTGAGGTATCATAAACTTTTAGAAAGCGGAAAAGTTTATACTAACGTAGAGAATTAAAAGTTACAAAACAATAGTACAAAACGGTTAAACATCACACTCGAGGAGTAGAATTTTGGTATTGATCATTTGATATAAAACCATAATGATATCTAAAATGTACGACCAAGATTTTTAATTTTATTTTCTTCCTTTGTAGATTTTAGCTCTATAATTTTGTTTAACGAATTAAGCGCGCCTGACACATCACTGGATTTTTCCTTCTTTTATTTTTGGTGGTCGTGTTTATAAGAGTATAGATGTTTCGGATTACGTTTTAAACAAATTTACCCTTTTTTCTATGAAATTTATCACTAAAATTGGGACACATTTCTTACATTAAACATTGTGTTGCATCATTGCAAGTGTCTACTATTATAAAAAATAATCGATGAACGATCATTACTCATAAAAAAATTATTCTTAAAAAATGATTTCATCATCGTTTCGACACACTCCGATAATTTTATTCGGTCAAAATATGTTGATTTTTAATTAATTGATTGATGTTTCGTTGGACAAATCATATTTAGTTGTCGCGAATTGATCATATTACCTTGTATTGCCGTATGAATTATTTCAAGTAAAATTCCTTTGAGTGGAAAGTGAAAGGAAATTAATGGGAGATGACATTAGTTGGAAACAATATGGTATGTCTTACATTGAGCCAAGGCTGTACTGGATTACTTTTATCCGAGTTAAGGTATGTAGAGGTGACATTGCAATTGCAATTTTCTGTTCACATTTATGAGCTAAGTATTATATTTAGATGTAATGAAAGCACCTCGATAACTTTTAAAAACTTGTATTGCTTCAAAATTTTGGTAGGTAAAAGTTAAAAGAAAGTATTTTTCCTCACCGTATATTAATTTAATGAACATACGTCATTATTAGCATATGTGGAAATCTTGAATTGTAATTACTAACGACAGTGATCGCAGCTTCATGCATGTTTTCGTCTGTATCGAATGTTATTGAACAAAAATTCAACGTATTCTTTTTAAAGTTACTAAAGTACTAAAATTACTTTAAGATATAAATTCTTTTTAAAAATGTGAAAAATAATTGATTAAAAATTAAAGAATAAATCTTCTGGTAGAGTAGAAGACTTGTTTTGAAATTACGGAATAAATATTACTGTATTTATATACTATAACATTTTTTCATTCCGTGTTTCAAAATTTAGTTACTGAAAAAATTTGTTACTTACGTATTTGTAAATTGTTTCATTAAACGAGAGTTACGTTTGACGTTATTTACAAACAAATATCAATAATTAATACCTTAATTAAATAACATACAATTAATAATGTTCGAATAAGAGTCGTGTAAAAAAGATTAACACGTATAAAATTAATACCTCAAAATTTTGATTCCTCGATATCAGTGATGCAAATCGTTTTTTTTTTTTTTTTTTTTTTTTTTTTT